TCGGATGCCAAAAAGTCTGTCTGACTTTGCAGAGAGAATACTGACAGTGAAGATTAAAACGTTTGTTGAAAACGTACAGTCGATACCGGAAGCCACAGTTTGTCGGATTTTTCGTCTATAAGACAACCTTTGATTCTGCAGAACGCATAATTCCATGCAGTATACCAGAAAAATATAACATCTTGAAAACTATCTACACCAGAGCAACGGCAGTGGGCCTTCGAACACATGAAGAGATCTTAGGATTTGCAATTGACAGCCGAGTACAGTTAGGGTCAGACAGCGGATCAGTGCAGTTCAGTTGCTATATCGACACCGAAGGAACTCAGAAGGCATTGACAGCCATAAAAATAGTCAGTGCCAGGTACGGCCGGAGGCTGAAGCCATCGAAGTCCTTCCGTTATGGTATGCCTCAAAATATGTCAGAAACATAATGGTTTGCGAGGAAGATGTGGTGTATGTCTCGAAGGTCTGTTATCTTGGATTGTCAATCACCAACGATGTATGTTGTGAAACAGACGTTCAAGACGATCAGCGATGCTCGCACAACATAAAATTGGTGCAGCAATAACTGTGGTCAGTCTGTCGGTCGGTCAGTGAAATTCCGTTTGAATCTGACGATATTGATGTATTCTGTGGCATTAACCTTTACCAAAAAATAAATTAGTTTGCTATAGGCATTTGAGATTTCAACTGATTCAGAATACTCGGCTTAAAACTAACTGACAGGATCAATATTATTCAAATGCTCGATGCGCTCGAATAAGGATGACTGGTGCCAACATTACTTCTGATGAAAAAAAGAAAGAAGCTGATAGGTATTGACGGAGATATCGATTCGCTGCCTGTTTCAGAAACAGCTAATGGCTCAAGGCAGAAATTAAAAAGGGCGGTGTGAAATCCTTTATACACCGACGCGATTCTACGTCGCATACCAGCGTCTTCATTACGGTAGTCATAAACAAATGACATGATGAGGTGTTACGAAAATAATGATGCAGAGTTTTTATTGACGGCATCCTTTGTTAATTCTTTCGAATGAGCCGGACGATTACATTCCAGCTGTCACTCAGACGAAACAAACTCATGCTTTCGTTACACAGTCGAATTTTGTCAGGCAACTTGTATCACGATTCTTTGATTGCAACAGAAGCAACATTCGTCAGACTATGGGAGTGTCCCACGGAGAAAGCGGGGGAGATGGCAGAATGCTCTGTTTTCCCATTCCTCAGAGGTGATAGATGTTCTGCAACCATTTGTCAAATCTTTGTGTGATTGTCCCGTTATAGATCTTGTCGCGGTAACTCCATTCGAGC